TTATCGTTTCTAACTTTTTTCTTATTTTTTCTAAATTAATTAAAGTGCAGGCATCAGGAATTGCTCTTCGACTGTTTTTTTCTGAATACGTTTCGCAATCCCAAGCGAATAACGCATCATCACTCATACTCGAAAGCACGTTAAGTTTGAGAGGTGAAACCTGTGTTACTGCGTTATCGTCTCTACACGTTTTCCACACCTGTTCGTAATTGTCTTCTATTTCTTGAATTCCCAAACTTTTTTGGCTTCTTCTAATCAAACAGAAATGCGAGTTGTGTAAGTAAAAAACCCAATCTAATTCATCGTGAACGTCTCTGGGATGAAAATGTCTGTTTTTGGTATTATAAATTTGAAACGAAGTGTTGAATTTCTTGTTGAATTCCTTCGTTCTAGCACAAGTCATCACTCCTTTTCTATTTGCTTTTGAAAACCCGTTGATGTATTCTTGAAATTCTCTCGTGCAGTCTTCGTTTAAAACACGATTGACGCATTTGATGAAACAATGACCATCTGTAGGTATGTAACAATTTTCGCCTTCGTATTCATTGATCTTTTTAAGCAGATCAGTTCCTCCTCTGCCAACTCTCGATCTTTTTATTTCTTGGAAATTGTCTTTCATTAAAATTATTTTTCCTGTAAAATACCAATCGGAAGCATCGGATTTTTTGTCCATATTTGAAAAGATATTGTGAAAAGTTTTGGCATTGAAACCGAGGAGTGACATGTATTGTCTGTGATTCCCTTCCTCGACTATCTCTCCATCTATTTTAATTTGTCCTTTGAATGTTTTGAAGATATCCGTTTTCTTTTTATAATGAGCTTTCTTTTTGCTCGTGAAACCTAAAGTGATGAGACCGCAAGAGGTCGTTTGAACGGCTGTTAATTACAGCCAATACGGTTGGGACGATGACCGGAAGCATTAATCCACCAGTCACGGCCGTTGCCACCGTTACTCCTACCGTTAGAACTGTGCTCGCTGTTTTGAAAAAAGAATCGATTCTACTCCATGTTTTCCTGCATGTATTGCACTGTCTCAACTTTATTTTCAACTCTTCTTGTTTGTCTATCATGTATTGTTGTCTGCTTTCGAGTTCCATTTTTTAAGTCGTTAAATTAAGTGAATTTCCGATAAATGGAACCACGGAATATCGTATAGAGCGCGCTTGTTTGGCCTAGCATTATTATATTTGCGGGTATTAAAAGTAAAAACATTTACGCGTACTAACGACATTTCTTTTTTCGTATGGTCTTCTTTAAGATGATAGGAATATTTTCTTTTTTCTTTTCGATGTTTATCTTGGCTCTAAAAATAAAACCACCACCTTCAAGGATGGAGTCTTCGGCAAACGATAAATGCACTATAAACTCTCTTTCTTGTTGACTTTTATGAACATCAATCGAAGTGTATTTTTCACCTAAAGCGAAATATAGTTTTACGTGTTCAAAGTCTGTTGTTCGTAAAAACTTGTGACTGGTTGATTCTATTTTTTCGTGTACGTGTAAGCGTCGTGGAATTTTGGCAATGTTGGTTGATGGTGGATTTTCCGTCTCCAATATCATATCTAAATCTTTGATTCCAATGATATCCTTATCATTTTCTACTTCCATTTTAAAGGTGTCTACATATTTACCATTTTTCGTTTCAATTTCCTGATCCCTTTTATCAATCAAACGTATATTCTCTTCCAAATTACCATCATTGAATAATGAAATATGTTTGACGGCCTTGCCGGTTTGTTTGAAGACTACTTTATTGACTTTAACCTTCATGGGAAACTCTATTTGAATCAGACAATTACCTCGAAAAGTAAACGCTTGCGTTTCGCCTATATCGAATACGTTTTTAGGTTCTCCGTATGCGAGAGAACCCACTTTTATTTCTGCTTTGAATCCGTATTTGTTTGATTTATAAATTTGGTCTTTTTCATCGAAGACAGTGTCACTTTCGAATGGAAGATTGAAATAATACGAATTGTCCGTGACAATAGCTTCTAATTTGCTCAACTTTCTCTCTTGTCTCAAAATATCGTCATGAATTCTAGATACCAAAAGATTGACCTGTTCTTTAATATAATTTTTCATATCAACTCGAAATTTATTTTGAAGAAAGTTTTTAATCACACCCACTTCTTTTTCTAATTCGTCCGTGATTTTAGTATCCAAAGCAGACAATTGTCGTTTCAACGTATCTTTGTCAATGGGAAGTGTGTTAATTATATCTTGAACATCTGATTTTTGCTTCGCGATCTTTTCGTTCAAATTGGATATCGAATTTTGTAACTCGGTTTTGTCCGCGGTCTTGTCTAGTTCTGCTAGCAATTCGCCAAGTTTTCTTTCCAAAGCGGTTAGTTTTCGTTTCAATCTATCCTCGTTTACATTTGGGTTGTCTATTAAACGTTGGACGTCTATTTTTACCTTCGTAATCTTATCGTCTAATTTGGATATTAAATTTTGCAACTGACTTGTTTTATCCACTTGAATAAGACGTTTCAAACTCGTTAACTCTTGTTGTAGTTTGGGTTCGTCCACAAGATTTTTAATATTTCGTCTGATGAATCTTTTCACGTCATTTATTCTATTTTCAACATGGTCCTTATCTATTTGAATTGCGTTTATTTGATCCAGTAAATATTTCTTGTTCACGGCATCGTTATCGTTTCCTGGAAACTTTAAATTAGTTATTTTGAAATTGTTCATATCGATATCCCCTTGTAAGGTGTCTCCGATTTGATCCACGAAAAAAGGTTTCGCTTTGTTTATAAACGCCGTAGAACTCATGGGATTTTTAGATTCTAGAGGTAAAGACCCTAATCCAAACTTGTTTGCCATTTTTATTGAGTTGATTTTTTTAGGTGTTTTTCGAAGTAGGCGGTAAGTATTGCTGAAGACCCAATTGACGAAATATATATGTAGTTTGTGTTTGAAAAAACTTGTATAACATTCTGATAAAACACATTCAGTAATATTTTGAAGATAAATTTACATTCAAATTTAAAAAATCTTAATTTAAGAGAGCGTAAATGCTTGTCGACATCTAAATTTCTTAACCTTTCATCTAAATCTTCATTTTCGAGATTCATTTTTAAAAGTCAGTTTTTTGAAGTTCATTTTGATAAAACCTTCCTATGATTTGTTCTTTGTCTTGATCGATCAATTCATACGTGGGAGGTGATGTGTTGTTTACTTTATCAACGATGAATATCTCGTTAGTCCAATAGCCGACGTAACCTTTCTGAAACAATGATTTATATTTAAAAATACGAACTCGATCTCCGACTTTGAATTTGGATTTAATATTCAAATTGCTAATCTCGTTTTCAAAGTTGTTTCGAGTGTTGACGGACTTTATGATATTCGGGTTATTAGAGGCTTGCGATGGCGTCACACCTATAGACGAATGTATTTTGTTATTGTATTCGTCGACAACAACTGGTAATATTTTAAGCCATTTTTGAGATTTCAATTCCGTGAATTTCTTGAATAATTTGCTTTTAAGAGCTGTTGAATCTTTCTATCACTACGGCTTTACCTTCGTTATACGTGCTGTAAATTTCAAACCCCAGAGATTTCACATTTCTGTTGTAGAATTCGCTTCCTTTATCAACCCACAACTTTAGGGGTCGTCTGTCGGATTGTTTCATTATGGTTTCGAATGCTTGTTTGACAGTCAGACCCGATTTGTTTTTCAAGGGAAAGACCCAAGCGTATCTCGTGTATATGTCGATCACCGTCAAACAATACTTGTACCCTCTCTCGACTCGCATGTTGATTAAATCGGCTGACCAAATTTCATCTTTATCAAAAACTTTGACTTTGAGGTAATGTTTGTTTTTTCGAAATTCTTTGTGAATCTCGTCTGCTATGCCCATACCCAATTTCAATTTTGCCTTCAAGAGTTTTATGATAAGAGCCCTTTGTAATTTCTATTTGAAAGTGGGATTGGGAATATTTTCGAGTTCGTCTATCATTGTCTGAATGTTACGTCTTTGTTTCTGTACAGTATGTCGTGTTTGAGCGCTGCTGCGTCAACTCTATTAACGGGTTCTTTCCCTGGTTTGGGATTATCATTTTCGTCTAAACGCAGATCTAACCTCGTGCCTGGACCTGTATAATTGTGCCCTGGGAGATGTTTTTCTCCGGGATATTTTGCCCATGGGAATCCAGGAAGAGAACCCAATGACTTTTGAATGTCTCCCGCACCGAAATACGTTTTAGGAGGATGGACATTTATTAAAGACATATTTGTTCAATAAACACCATATATTTTTAATACGAAAGATTTAATACAAGGAGGAAATTTGTTGTTTGAGACAAAATTGCCCACTTTGGGGATGATAGATGTTAGCGCAGAGAAGAAACCGTCTCCTTCGAATTTTTTTTTTTCGTGTTTTAAAATTAAAGACATTTTTAATGCGGTTATTTTATACTGTATTATTTTTTAGTGATTCTTGTCTGTGGTTTTGGGTAATTTATAATACAGTTAGGAGGAATCTGTTGTGATATATTTTTTTAACAGTTAGGGAAGTCTGTTATAATACATTTTTTTACAGTTTGGGGAAAGTCTGTTATAATACATTTTAACAGTTGTGTCTTTTCGGATATGACGCATTGAAAAAGCTGCGCAGAAGTGAAATGCGTCATATCCGAAAAGACATATACCTGACATCTTAAAAACCGGATCAAACTGGATGCGCTATATCAGAAAACACATATACTACTTTTGCTAATCGATAAGTAAGCTGACTGAAACGTCAAATATCTGGGAAATCCCCAAAGATTTGTTCGTGATGGTCCATTTAGCGCGTCGTGGATTTGCTAAACCTGTGAAAGTTTTTTTTTATGTAATAATAAGCTTACCAAGCAATTTAGCAGCTGTGTGATGCTATTCATGATGTGGCCTATACGAGTCAATCAGGTTATGCTAGGTTAATTACTACACGCGTCTCTATGGGCTTATAACCAAAAATGGAAATTTATTGATTTATTGAAAAATAACTTACTGATATTTTGGTGAGAACATACAATATTAAAGCTAGTATAGAAAGATAAATTCTTAACCTCACTCCGCCAAATCGGCGTTTTAAATAACCGGGCATAGTAAAAGCCTACAAATAAATAACAGAACTTATTATACGTATGCCTGTTATTCCATGATGACTATCTGTAAACTACCTAAATCTTTCTTGCAATTTCCAATTGCAAACGAAATTAAGACTTATGGGATAAAAATCAAAACGTACCCCACTTGATACATAAACTGGAACAAACAGCCATCCTAGAGCTATTAACAGAAACACTGCCTGAAAAGAACAATATTTACAGTAATTAACTGGAGGAACCATTGAAAGTCATGCCTAGGATAATGGCTGAGGATATGTTTTGGTAATTATTTCTTTGACCCAATATACCGTTATACCAATTTCTTACTCACGGTTCATATATAATACTAATTACTTACTTCCCATTCAAATATGATACTTACTACAATAAAACCTACTCAACATTTACATAATACACATTACATACCCAACATACAAATATATAATACAAATTACTTACCCCTCATTTAAAAATATAAAACAGATTACTAACTCTCCATTCAAATATGAAACAGAATACTTAATCAAATGGAACCTACTCCATATTTACATAAGACTACTTATCTATATTATAATAGATGACTTACCCCCATTCAAACGATGATACCGATTACTTACTCCCCATTCAGTAATATGATACTGATTACTTTCTCCAATACAACTTCACATTTACATAATACAGATTACTTACCCCACATTCAAATATAATACAGATTACTTTCTACCATTCAAAATATGTTACAGATTACTTACTCCCCATTCAAATATGATAACAGAGAAACCAGTAGCAGCAGCTGCCCCAGCTAGACCTATAAACATCGGAGCTCCAACATTACTAGCAAATATAGAACATCCGACCTACAACCATGAATAAAATCTAAAATAACATGTTTGATGCAACCGTAGATCTGCCTCATTTAAACATAGCATGACGAAGATGATTTAATTGTTTGATTTAGTGAATTTCATAGAAGACTGCCTGTCAGTGGCCGGAGCCAGGTTTCCGGCTGATGTTGCCCGAATTTTTAACCTAGTTATGAGAGTTTTGCAAACTCTGCGTGCGAAACACTATTGTTATTGTTTTTGAAGAGTATTTTCATTATTTCTAGAAAACATGTTCCTCTGCCAAAGGCAGGCAAGAAATATGTCTCCAACCTTTTTTCGATAGGTTCAACAAGAATTTTTTGAGGAAAACTAGGTCAAACAGCTTAATTAACAATTAGTATTCTCTGTTAATTAGCCCTTTTAAAACAAATTTAGTTTGATCAAGTAGATACAAAGATATACATAGCATACTTTAGAAATATTTTCAGGTATAATTTACGACATTTTTGACAATGAAAGTGTTTTTCAAAAAAGGGGAATGCCCCTTTGAGGCTTCGGGCAGTGATTTCAGTAAATATTGTTATAGGACATCTCAAATGATATGAATTATGTAATATTATTATAAAAAAAAATACAATAGGGCTACGATTTCAATTTAAAAAAAACAACAGTTATAGGATAGTATCTCATTCATCATTATTAAATGTGAAAAAACAGTGACATTTAGGAATGTATCAACAAAAATTTGGTAAGAAATTAGTCATTTTGGAAAATAATTTCAAAAGTAGAGAGGGCATCGTCTTTGATTAATATAAGATTTGAGATACTACACTATCCTCATTTACCGGTATCCAATGCATATCCTTGCCTGCTAAGAAATACCCTGCAGCACTTCCCCTGTTTGGTCTGCATGATGCCTGAAATTTAGAGTATATCTATCATATATAAGCTATCGGGCAAAAAGTGTTTAAAGCGACTTCACATTGCATTATTTCTATTGAATTCTCCACAATACATGACTGGATGGTGTGGTACTCTATATTGAACATCAACCAATTATTTTTAACAAGACAACGCAAGGCCTCACAGCGCCCGACATGTTTAATATTATCCGAACATACTCTATACAAACTTTAGGTGATCAATTTCCTTCAAAAAATGTCTCTTCTTGGGTACTTTCAAACAATGTTGACCAAAGGATATGGGTTGTTCTCCATTTCATTTGGTCGTATAGAAACAAAATCAGGAAATAAATGAAGTTACTTCTGCAGGTTAACTGGACAGCAACTGATTGGCTATGTACCATTGATTAAAAGATGATTTGGATTACCGGTAATTTTTTCGTTACATAAATGTGTGATATGGGTGTGTATATATACTCTTTACTTACAGAGCGACATAAAAATAGGCCATTCTTTTAGATGGTACAACTTACGAACTCTTACCAACTTTTTAAATATCTGTTTTATGAAATTTTGGTTCTTATCAACTTTTTTGTTATTGCAATAAAAGACTATTCACGTTTATTTCGCAGTGTCAAAGCGACAATTTCTCCCCTCTGCAGTCACAGTTTGGAGTCTCTGGCCTACACTGGTTGATCAAACAGATAAGTGTACATAGAAGTACATAGCATACTAAAAACTCTATTTACGCTTATTTAAGAGGCTGCAAATTATACATTTCTTATTACTGAAAACTGCATACTGTATACTGTCAAAACAGTCAAAATTCAACATAAACATAATTTAGATAACTTTAATGATATAACTCAAAATTGCAAAACGTCTAAAACGATTTTTATTTTCTTTTTCTGTACATATATCTACTCAGCTATCCTTTTATTAAACTTTATAATGCATTTTTAGATCAATAACTTTGAATGTATTAATATTTCATCAATTTACATAGTTATATATTAGTTAAAGCAAAGACAAATACAGTCTGATTGTCAGATTTGAATTTAAAATCCAAATCCGTATGTAGGATTGAACTTTCCCCTGACAACGATTTTCAATTTTTACATTTCCTGAGAGATTTTATCAAAAAAAAAGTAGTTATTAAATATTTAAACTTTTAACGTAAACTATTTACGCCTTAGATATTTAGTTTTCGTTCTTTATGTTCTAATTTATTCATTTTAAATCTGACTATTATAAGAGTAAGTTCACCGATTAAGCCAATGAAATGCAGTGTTCATTAAAAGCGTTTCGATTTTAATACATTACTCCAATCGTGTTCTTGGCTCAAAGTTAGTTTGTCAGATCCTGAATCGGTATGAGCAAAAAGAAAACTTATAGTTGCTTCAAGCCTTAAATTAGCGAGTCAAATTTTGGTACTAAAATCACGAATAAATAGGGCCTACAATCGTGGGTGTTGCATACATATACATACAACGAAAGATAGAATCTAAAATTTTAAGCAGGAATTTACAATAAAGAGTCACTTCAATTTGGCATTGACAATGCACTGTCACTTTAAGTAAAGGAATCCGAGCTGGAACTGTAGTTTTAATCAATATATCCAGTTCCAACCCTTTGCCACAGATACAGATTGTAACTTTAAGTTGACAGGAAGAACGCCAAAGTCTGATGGATGTTCTCTTGCTATTCAAAAATGATGTTCAATCTTTCTCACAAAGGGCAACCGTTCTTGAAAAAAAGATTTTATAAATCCCATTTTTCTTTTGTAATGGTAAGTTAATTGTGAAAGTAGTATTTTGACGATAGTGTTACTAACGATTATTCTACGAATATGTACAGTAAACTCTTCTAGTTTTAGTAAGGTACACGCATGTTGATGGTTTTCGTCATGATTGCCATGCAGAAAAGGAATGTGTCATCTACCTTTCAAACAAAAAACTTACCCAAATTCCTACCACCAAAACTACCAAGAAATATGCAGCGATTGTCACAAAATCCCAGACTCCTAAAACGTCTGCCATGTCGATTTGACTAATGTTTATTATAGTTCATTATTGAAATAGTTTATAAAGATAAACAAACGGCTCGTTGTTGAGCTAATAACATCATCATTAAGTCTGTTGTTGAAAACGTGGTTGTTTTTATATAAGTGATACGCTTAACTGAGGTCAAGCTCTACCATCTAAGAATTGTGAGGACTATCTCATAGCTCTGAGTGAAACAACTGGTTGATTTTATTCTAACCACAGAAAACTTCGATTGCGTCAAGCACATCAACTGACCAAGATAAGTCCACACCATACCCATTCATTTTCCAGTTTTTAATATCAATTTGAATTCTATGAGCATGCGACGATGGTTGTGGTTACAAATAATAAGAATGATGATAATGTTAGTGACCATTAAGACCATTTAGTGAGATGCAGCTATTAGTAGAGCTAATCGTGCTTAAAGATAGCGATTTAGATCAACTCAAATCATTCCAATATCTATCCAATATCTATCTCATTAATTCATTAGACTGTAAATGAACATAATAATTTTATTATTTCCAGTTCATCTTAAACTATGCCACCTATCCTCGTGTTTCGCCCATTGTGCTCCAAATCTAGTTCATCTTAATCTGTGATTGAACTACATCTTAGGAATGAGGAAAATTAAACTATACCCATAGAATGGTGTCCTTCGGTGTTTTCACTGTATAGAATATTTCATCATAACAAGAAAATACACGAGGATGAACCTTGGAGTATAGAGTCAATCTATACTCCTTGGGATGAACCATGTGCAATCCCATGAATGGCAGTAGGTAATATTAGCCAGTTAGCGATTCAAAACCGACTCTGCATACTATCGAAGTTCACCGTTCGAGTTGTCCCAAAGGAGCGTATATACACTTCAAAACACAAGTTAATGTAAATGTCGGCTAGCAAATGCTTCGGAATGATGAAAAAAAATCAGAGGAGGTTTTTTTGAAACTTCCGTACACGTTGGCTTCTCTTTGCACAATTTCAATTAATCACCATCAGCGTTAATTCCTGTAATTGTCAGACATAATTAACCATATTATGATATCACTGATGCAAACATATCATTTAAGTCACATATGAAATTGAGAGAATAGATACGAGTATGACAGGCTATTTAAATTAGTGATCTGTATACAATGAATCGAATACATTATTTAATTTAAGGTCGGTCTACATCAATTATTTCTTATTGACAACATCAACACGGAACGATGCGTATTCATATTTTAGTGAAATGAAATCAGATGGAATACAATGATAGGTTTTTATTCAGGATTATAGTGACAAGCACTTTGCCAATTTTAATTTATATAAACAATCGTTTCAAGACAAGATTGACCCAAAAATTCAACGGGTCCGACACGTGGTCTGCAGATTGTGTGGGCACACCATATTAAATGGTTTTGGGCCAGCTCCTCGTATATATTCATAAAATTGAAAGATAGATTGCCAGGCAAGGTAATGCCCACTGGCAGCTTTGATTTTGAATAAAAATATGTGGCAGTACAGTAACAAGCACCAGTATGAAATATTCAACCTTCAGTAAAACATTTCTTATGAACTTTATGGGGCAATGCTGAAAAATATTACCAAGTTTTGTCAAAATCCGGCAAGAATCACCTCATACGTCAGTACGTCAGTGAGTTCGTCACTCCGTCAATGAGTTCGCCACTCCGTCAATGAGTTCGTCACTACGTCAGTGAGTTCGCCACTCCGTCACTGGAGTCCATCAATACGTCGATGCTACCTTACAATTTTATAACTTTTGTTTTTATTAAGTTCTTAAACGAAAAACGACATTTGACGGAGTATTTAAATCAAATCGTCTATAGAACATGTCAAAAACTAAAAAAAAAAATTTCGTACAAATTGGGGAATATCTAATTTCCATCAGTAAACGAAAATAAGATACAAGCTAATGACTTCGATTTTCGTGTTTTTAAAGCATCGTAACTCGTTTCTATTATTGTATGAACCTATATCAACATTCTTGCTATATCGATCTCAATTTGGTATGAGGTAGCCCTGACTCAAATATCTTGTATGTAGGCTATACAAAAAGGCCAGAATTTTAACAATTCTTGGTATGCTTACGTATAATTTTGTGTACATCATTTAATATGATTTTTTTACGAACGATTTTTGAGTTAATTGATTTTGATCTATCCAAAATAAACGAATTTGGCATGTGAATACGAACGAGACTGCAGTTGTAACCTGATCTTGATGGACTTTGGCATGTTATGTATATTGTTCAGAACTTATCGCGATTTTTCTTCGAAATGGATTGGTGATCACTATAGAAAAAAATTTCTTCTGCTTTTGTCGAAATTTGGAATGCTATATGGA